ACCTACCCAAGTATTCACAATAGTGCAGACGTTACCTATGGTTCTACAGAACAAGTAAAAATCGCCTACCAGATATAGCCATTAGCCGCGTTCCAGATGCGGCATACCTAAAGCATACGGACCTTTGAGCTAGAGAAAAAAGAAAAAGTGTACGTGGTACACCTCTTTCTGCTGAGTTTAATTATAAACTTTTTATAGGTGCAAATTGAAAATGTTGGTAATTCCACGTTTACCGCCCCCTAGCGCCATCTGTCAATTTGCACAAAAAAAATATGCCGTTAAAATTAGGAAAAGGGGCGCGCCACGCCCACTTCTTTTTAGCTTAACGGTCACTATTCTTTAGGTGTTATGGAGGGTGGCCACCTGGAACAGCTTCCTGTAAAAACCTGCAAATGCAAAAAAAAGTCATTTGGGGCAACTAAGAGCGCTAAATTTTTTTGATCAAAGGATACATTTTTCGTAACAGTTTGTATTTAATAAAAGCAGAAAATAAACAATATTTAAAAGTATAAATCAACACACAAAACTTTTTCGCTCATAATGATTGAATAGCCTCTATGCTATTATTTCACATCAATCAGCGCAAACTTGTATTCTATCGGTCTTGGGTAAATCACTGATGTCCAACCTAGTTTTATCACATGATTCAATAATACATGTTTACACGGGTTTCTTTATACATTCCGGATAATCCCATTTCACAGCCGGAATAAACAGAATACGTTTGAAATATACGTTAACATATCATCAGGAACGTTCTAAAGAATAAGTAAACAAAAAAGTTTATTCCTAACGTTCAGAATGAATAAAGAAATTCAGCCATTGAATCATGCATGGTTTTATCGATTATTATATGCGAAGAAGAGGAGAAATGCCAAATGTAAAAGTGAACAAAAGTGGACTCTAGCAAGGAAGAGGTTTGTAAATGTATTTTCTATAAAATGCTAAGTTAAAATATATTTAAAGTGCTTAATATAACAGAAAAATGTGAAGACGGTGGTACGGAGAAGAAACATAACTTTTCCTTGAGAATTTAGAATAACAAATACAACAAATTTGACGGCTAATAATCTGAGATTTGATATTCCTTGGTGTTGATCCAAAAATTACTCGGTATTGAAAGAAAAGTATCGAGTATGTACTTATATTGTTACATTTCTAACTATTTGGGAATTGAATTAAACCAAAAGCGGTGGAAATAAACAGAGAATCTTTAAGCATGATGCCGCGTCAACTTTGGGGCCAATTCAAAGAAACCTCCTCCAAGGAGAATGAATCTGACAAAATGGTTCCAGTGGCGGCAAAACGAACAAAGCTCGAAGAAATGCAAGACAGATTGCCTTCAACTATTACCAAGAAGTAGGATACATAAATTTTTGAGATTGATGGATTACTAACAAATTTATTTCGTATAGTGTCGAACTGAAAGTGAAAAATCCCTTAGTAACGCAAACTATCGAAGTAATGAAGCAGACGGAAATGTTACAATCACTAATTGATACATATTCCAACAAATC